GGATAGGCAGAATGACATTTTTCTTGCCAGTCCAGTGCAAGTAGGTGCATAGACAGAACGAAAATAACTAGAGCATGGAGACAAGATAAAAGAGAGCAGCAGCAAAATATGGAAAGATAAAGGACTACAGAGACATCGAAAGGAAAGAGACAAGGATACAAAGAGATAACAAGTAAAAGATTTGATCTGAAGAGAAAAAAAAAACCAAAAGAAAGTGAAAGTAGATGTGACGAAACCGAAACTATATATATGCGGCGAAAAGCTGGTGAGGTTGAAGCACAGTTATTTGCATTAGTCATCCTATGAACAGTGGGTTTTGGAGAACATCGGAACTATCAGGTGCAGATTAATGCAGTGGGATCATGTCAATGTTTGGGGTGATAGACTAGAGGGGGAGGAGGGGGAAGGCCTTTCTGGTATAGATTGGTCCGTTAGCTAGCCTTATCTTCCCACAAGACAAAACCGTTGCCTGATTTATTTGTTAGCTACCCATCGGGTTAAACCAAAGTCCTCATCGATGTCTGTAAGCCAACTCATCGGATAACCAGGAGTACGCGTGCATGTCCCTGTTGGAGTTTGTAGTCCGTCGTCACATCTGTTTATCCTAACAAAAAAACAGGAGCATGTTTTCCAGGACAATTTGGTCACAATGGGAACACACAACTCTTTTTTTTTTTTTGTTTTAATTTTTTGTGAGAAAGTTTGCTGTTCTCAGGCAATCGCCAAGAGGAATCCTTGTGACTTTCAGAAACCATCGTGGCAACAATTCAAAAATAGGATAGACAGCCAACGAGAGGCCCAGATGGGGAGCGCCCATCCACGTCCGTGAGGGGGTCAGCTAACCTTGTTGGCTTTTTGCGTCCCGCCGAGCAATTCATCCTCTTGACTAGCATTGGCTACTGACCAATCCATATTAATTTGGTTGGTGAGTCGGCAATAGCCTCTCAGGAGTCCACGTTGATTCAGTCCTTTCGCTGGCGTCGGCTTCATAACCAAGTCACGGTCCATTGTTGATTTGGTCTGTTAGCAACCACGAGCTTCCTGCCAAGCTGTAATCCGTACGATTTGATTGGTGAACAGACATGAACTTCTCGCCACGCCGCAATCCACGTTGATTCGGTCTGTTAGCTGGCATTAGCTTCCCACCAAGCCACAATCCATGTTGATTCAGTCTGTTGGCTAGCATTAGCTTCAAACTCCGTAGTCCGTGTGTCACGTGCGTCCGTCAGCCTCCCACTTTCAGCTCCAGAGACAAAAGTTACTGGTTGTTTGGCAGGTGGTGCCTTTCTCGGCCGGGGAAAGGTAGAGCTTGCCGTTGGCGCAGGCGCACAGCTCGTATACAGTCTGTTTGGTGTAGGTGGTACCTGCAGGCGCCCCCTCCAGGGGATCCACGGCACTACCAAGGGGAATGTTGCCCAGCCTGATCGTGTTGGCGTCTAGAAAGATCTGTGAACAAAAAACAGAGGAATGATTTAGAAAACTTTGATTTGCCATCCATAAAACATGAAAATGGATGACACAGAAGCTGATGTTACAGCTGTAGGGGACTGAGCTCACATGGACTGTCTAGGTACCTAAAATAATACACAAGCACACAGAAAGGGAGAAAACTATGTTTAAAGGAAACGGAGAAGAAAAAAAAAATACTGGGGTTGTTCGTTCAGAGGAAGAGAGAGCACATCGCTGTAGGCTATGACTATAGTCTCTGTGGTCGACTGGGGTTGTCATCAAGAAAGATCTACGGAGACAGAAAGGGGATTTCTATTTAGAACGGGTCTCTTTTGATGAAGAGGCAGAGTGGGAGTGAATGAGGCAGAGGGCAAGGTAGGTGAAGAGAGAAGCAAGGGAATCAGTGGGAGAGGAGTGAGGAAAAAAAACAGAGAGAGAGGCAGAGAGACACAAGGGGTAGAATGAAAACATACAGACTTGATGTAGTATCATACTTATCATAATGATATTTCCCCCATACTAATAAGTTTTAAAAACCTACCAAAGGGATTAGATGATACAACATATTTTAAAAGTCTGATTCATTTTTTTTGGGGGGGGATAATTCCCTAGAAACAAACGAATATATTCAAGAAAAAAAAAAAGAAGACATCATCCTCAAGATAAACAAGCAGCCAATTAGTCGTAACATAAAATAAGTATGAGAATAAAAAAGCAGAGTATGAAAAAAACATTTCTTATCTGCATAGACAAATCAAGTTATCGCTTTGATCAAATTTACAGCGTTTGGACTTCTGTGAGAGCACTCGATGACTTCATGTCATCAAAACATTGCAGAAAACTTGCAAATAGGTTTTCTGTAGTTATTATCTCTGCAACTTGTCCAGTTTCAGTCAGCAGGTCGAGGGGTTTGTGTTTTTGATTTGATGAATTTGACAGATGTGTGATAAGTTTTAAATCATCGAGAGACAAACCTGTATTAAAGGTCACATACTGAAGAGGCTGCTCCCACCTTAACATTGTAAAAACGAGGACAGACTGAAGGCAGATTGGTAGATTACCATCCCAGATGGTATGGATGGGGCTTTGATAAAATTCCATCAAATTTAAATCCAGAATCAAATCCACTTACTTAATATGAATCCTTTATTGAATCTTATATTGATGTGAGATGATGAACTGCATCGTTTCTCGAGGAAAGAGTCGCCGCTCTGTCTGTAATTCGGCAGAAACTGCACAGTCTGCTGGCGGTGTGGCGTTGGAGGACAATGTGTCCTGTCATTCACAAACAATTGTTTGCGAAATAATAAAACACCAAAGAGCACGGCAAGCAGATAAAAGACTCGAAACTTCATTTTAGCTGTTGAGGAAATAAAATTAATTAGCTCGAGCTCAGGGCCAGTTGAAAAAAACACAAGTTGCCACCAGCGTGTTTTCAATTGCTCCATCCCCTGGCCGGCCTCCTTCCCTCCCGACCCTTAATTCTCTCTGCCCTCAGACTGATACAAGCTGAGCTTCAAACGAGAATCATTACTCAATCTTAGTTTCTATTGACTGCTTATTTATTTACTCTTCGATGCTAAAGGAAGCCCAGCTTTTTTTTTCTGTGTCTCTCTCACATATTCTAACAGACCCCAAGGCTAGACGGTAATCTCAGCAGACATCTGTATCCCCATTATTCATGTTCTTCATTTCAGCAATGAGGAGAGGGGAAGTGAAAATGTGTGAGGAAAATAGCTATGAGTGCGAAAAGAGACGGGAAGAAGAGAGTGGAAAGGAGAGAGTCACATGAAAGGATGAGAGAAGGATGACAGAGAGAAAATGTCAAATCAGAAGCAGTTTGAAGAAGATGGTGAGAGAGAGAGAGATGCGATGAATGCAAGAAAAAGAAGAGAGGAATGAGGGATTCAGATACCCCAACAGTGAGGAACCAATTAGTATAACTAATGATTTCACATTGGCTGACGGGGCACATCTCGATCTATATAAACAACATCCACACATACAGTGTACACACACACACACACACACACACTCTCCATCTCTGCATGATGGAGCAGAGCAGAGGTGCTGCTCGTGTTGCCTTTAAATAGCTGTTTAGCTAAAAGCAATGAAACTATTAGACATTAACATGAAGACAAATAGACAGGTAACCAGAGCATTTAAAACAGACTGATGTAAACATAAGGATGATACCGTCCGTGTCATCCCAGCGGCCTTTACTCTGTGAGATGCTCAATCTCTGAACTCAGACTCCTTAATTATTGCTTTCCATTCTCCTCCAGAAGGCGGTGGTTTAAATATATCAGTGACGAGGCGTTTAGACGGTGCATTAAGTGCTGCATGGACAGATGTTATCTGATATAATTTTGTTGAACAGAAAAGTGTACTGTTAAAGCAATTATCAAATAAGAAGAGGATTTAAAAGAACAAAACAAAACAAAAACATTGTCTTTGTGCAGTAGTTAGAGCCTGTGAGACAAATGGGTGGACGTGTATTGTTTCACTCCCTTTGTACTGCAACCACAACAAAAGGTAACAAAAGAAGTAAAACACTACAGAGGGGTTTTTTTCATCTAAGATACACCAAGACATCTTCTTTGCACAGTCAAAAATAAAACAGACAAAAGAAGTATTAATTGTTTTGTACAACTGAGAAGGTTGACATCAGGCAAAGCTTGAAATCGAGGCCATTGAAGTGTAATACCCTCGGTGGCCAGTAGGCGGCGGCTCCAAATAATCTCAGGTTGCAACAACCTCCCATTTAAAAAGCATCAGCTTCTCTCATGAAAAGCTGAGTAAATTTTCTTTTCCACATTTCATTAGCTGCACTTACTCCTTCTGCTGGTGGTAATTCTGAAATATAAACTTTTAAATGGAGGCATGTTTGGGGGCCGTGACCGGCGTGACTGACGTGCCTGGTTGGAGTGAATGACAGGCTGTTTGGTTGAGGCAGGCCAGGTGAGTCACTCAGTGGTGAAGTCAGGTCTACTGCTCATTATTTTGATTCACTTGCAACATAATGACTATAATTTTGTTGTCATTTGTCAGTGGAGTAGGCAATGCAATTTTAATAGACACTTCTGCTGTTTGTTACCTTGTTTTAATGTTTTCAGCTCACCTTAATAACGACTTGTCTTTGGATAATCATAGACCCTCGAGGGATTCTGATGTCTAGTTGTTGTTTTTTTCACTAAGTACATGTTTATTTTCTTCATGGTTTCCACTTTTAATGTTAAGTTGAATGTGTATCATTCTCTTTGCACGCTAACTTACTGATGGTGATGGATGTGTCGGGTTTAAGTTGTCACTACTCGCTGGCGTTGACCATAAAGCCATTCTCTAGGCTTCAGTTCAGCTTGTTCATAAGTTCAGTGTTTATATACAGTCAGTGATTGACGTGTAGAGTAAAGGATGTTTGGATTCTGTTTTGTGAATTTTATACATACTGCATGTGCCCTGGAGGGAATTACCATCACCCAAACATGCATAAAGTACTGAAATCCCCCAACTTTCCTTATAATAAATAAATCCCATTCAAAGTGGCTTTAGTCTTAAAAGCCATATTAGCAGTTCTTGTTGGTGCCGGGGGCTGTAGGGTGGTGCAGTTGTTAGCACTGTTGCCTCGCAGCAAGAAGGTCGCCGGTTCGCGTCCCGGTGAGGACACCCGGGATCTTTCTGTGTGGAGTTTGCATGTTCTCCCCGTGCAGCGTGGGTTCTCTCCGGGTTCTCCGGCTTCCTCCCACACAGTCCAAAAACATGTTGAGGTTAATTGGTGATTCTAAATTGTCCGTAGGTGTGAATGTGAGTGTGCTTGGTTGTCTGTCTCTAAGTGTAGCCCTGTGATAGACTGGTGACCTGTCCAGGGTGTCTCCTGTCTTCACCCTGAGTCAGCTGGGATAGACTCCAGCCCCCCACGACCCCAGTGAGGATTAAGCGATGTATAGATAATGGATGGATGGATGGATGTTGGTGCCGGCTGCAATGGCCTCTCCTGACCTAATTAGCCCCCCTTTAGAAACCTCTAATACTTTCAGTGTGATGGATGAAAATATTTAAAGTTTAAAGTTTGTTTGGAACCTTTATGTAGAACTTTCTAATCAAGACAGACAACTACACAACCAAACTGGCGAGATCTGCAGCTTTAAAAGTGATTTAAATGAAAGAATCACAAATTAGACTAAAACATCTTTTTCTTTTGTTGACTAAAACAAGACCGAGATGAAACAAAACCAACATTAGACTGATGCTAATATTAAATAAAAATCTGCTGTCCAAATAAAAAAATTATTCAGAAAAAAAAAGGATTTGAAGTAAGACCAAAAAAAAGGGGGGGCAAGGGAACCTCTTTGAAGCACTTGGGCTGTGTTACCTCATTAGGCTGCCATGCCCATTGGATTTAATGAGACATGGTAACAATGACTAGAAGACACTTTAAGAGCCAGTGAAAAACGAATATGTGAACTTCTCTCCCCATGTGCCAAGCAAAAGAAAATACCACACTACATTTCTAAATGTCAAGGTATGCCTTTAACAGGTCCCTGGTGCACACCTGTCATCTTCCCTTTGGCTCCCCAATAAAAGCTGCCAGGGCTCAGTTATAGCCTTACAGGGGAAAAGACTCAGTCACGGTTGGCAACATAACCCAAATCTAATTCTAAAAGCCTGCTTGCCACAGCAAGGAAAACCTAAAATGAACTGGCACGGGGGGGATAAGGAGAAATGGGTGAACACATGTTAACGCGAGGAAATGCCGATGAAATTACTGTTTTTCTTCCGTAGCGGTATGGTAACAAACCGAGGGAGCAAGGGAGGGAGAGAATAAAATAAAGAAAGAGTAGGGATGGATGGGAAAGAAAACAAGAAGGGCTGGTAGAGGATGCCGATTACGGGATTGGAAAGAGAAGAAGGCGATTAGTAGGTATAGATGATGGCTTAGAAGGAGGGATGAGGCGATAAAGAGATCGATATGAAGGAGGTGAGAGGTGAGGTGAAGC